AAAAGGGCACCAACCAAAAACTACTGCGTAGAATTAATTGGAATTTTTCACACACAAGCCTTGCTATATGAGCTCTCAAAGCATATAAAAATTATACGGCTTAAATGTGAAGTTGGGTGCAAAAGAATGCAATTAAATCCTCTGTCGAGAAAAAACGAAATGACTTTCCGAACAACCCAATAGTTTTAGGGAAATGCAAAGATTAGCTCAGGATAGGATGGAGTGGAGATGCGTGTCGAACCAGTCTGAAGGCGTGATAGTCCTGAGAAAAAATTAATTAACAACTCGTATTCTAATCACACAGATGTGGAATCATATGTGCTATCCGAGGGGACATAAGAAGATACGTTGCCTTCGGAAAGATCCAAAACAAGGAATATTTCATGTTCGATAGTCAATCGTTTGGACCGCCGATGTTTCTAGAGCGCCAGTCGAAAGCCTACATGCTGAGATGCACCAGCTTCGCAAGACTCTTGCACGTACTTGTGGTGGCACTAAGAGGTGGTGACTTCTTTTTGTACAACGTCGAATGTAAAAACTTCCAAGCCATAGAATAACAATGTTCATTTCGCAATAAATAACAAGCAAAAAACAATAATTCGAGTCAATAATAAAGAACAATTAAATTAAGGTCAAGGAGAGTCTAATTTTTTATTGTTTCGGTGAAAAAAGGGACTTCCCAATCAACGCTTAAGAATATACCCACAAAGTAACGGTCTTGTATCGAATTTTATTGGAACTACGAAATACCCACTGACGTTAACATTGCAAATGTATTTCGCTAATGACAATGACTACATCAAAGTCCAGGTTATACGTCTGCAATAATTAAAATATCAAATTTCTTGGACAGACAAACAAGTCCAATTGACGCGAACATTTTTAATATAATTATTATTATTCGTATTTTCGGTAGATATTAAAATTTAACCTTCTTATCTGATGAAAAATTTTCGAGAAACGAAATTTAAAAGGCGATTTACCATATGATATTTAATAAAAAACGAAATATTCGAAAGTAAACTCGATTTCGTTGACACTTTTAAAGAAATACACAAATACGAACTTGTCAGGGGGGGGGTGACCTACGCTACATTTTTAATTGTTTATTGATTGTAATAATTGCATTTATTAGAAAACAATTAGAAATCGTTGCAGTTACTAATAAAATTTAACAAAATTTCCCAAAACAACAATCACATTAACTAACCTACATTGTAACAATGTTGATAGAACTTATAACGAAGGTCAATACTAAGGTCAACAAATCAATAATAATTGCTGAACAGAAGAATTTTTCGAACCAACGAGAAAATAACATGACTTATTACATCACAGTGACCAATTAAGTTTAATTTTCATCTAAATACATTGTACCTACACAAAGTCAGCTTGTAGAATTTTGTTCTATTAACATTCTACACTTTGATACACGGTTTAATACAATTGGAAATTAAGTATAAATAAGCGAATTAAAAAAAATTTAAATGGTAAATGCGAGAAAACAACACGTTTTGACGTTAGGAAACCTTAACAACAAAACATTTTTTTGTATAGCCCGAAACAATAATTGCTCTTTTAATAACACATNCTGGAACTGCAGAAAGCAGGTGCTGGACTTACCTCCGATCTACCGCTACCAGAACCGGAAGTCACAATGGAAGAGGAACTGCTCAAAGAAAACAACTTCATAGAACTTCCTGACGACAGTCAACTGATCAGAGGCACGCAGAATATTGCAGACCTTGGAAAGGAAGTGGACAACACGGCTCCGTACGTTTGCATCATAGCAGCAGCCGTTGCCAAAAAATACTCAATAAGCACTTGGTCATCTGATCTAGTCGATTATGTTCTTACGGGCGGCCTGGCATTGTACGAACTCGCCAACGTGAGGTTCGAACAGGCTCCCAAATTTGAGATCCCAAAAATATCGCTAGGTAACAATAATCCTTTAGAAATATCCGATATTAATTTACTGGCGTCATTTGTTCCCAAAAGGGAAAGATAATTATAGGGTGTTCGTGGACTACCTGTTCGATGGTCAATTTTCTGACATCGGTGTGGAGAAAGCGCTCGCCCATAGGTTATTCTCAAAATACGAGATTGGGTTGATCGTCACCTCGTACTATTCGTGTGCTGTATTTTTTAAAAATCACCTGTACTACCTCTTCGACTCCTACGGTAACAACGAGGTGGGACTGAGCGAAGGTCCGCATAACAAGGGCATGGCCATGTTCGCCAGGTTCAAGAATCTGGAGCACCTGGTCAAGCGAATCGTTTACAACAAGACCAAAAGGGAAATGGCGGAATCGTTTAAGTTTTCCGATTTCATATTGTTCTCTATCAAAGTGGAAACTATAAGACAGGAAGCACTTCGCGCTAAGGGTTCCGAAGTGATGGCCTCCGAAGGCGGTGAAGACGGAATGGGTGAAGATGAGAATGTTGTAGTAAAACCTGAAGTGAAGGAATCCGAAGTACTGCCAGAACCAAGAAATGTTGTAGGGTGAGACAGAATTATCAAACTACCATCACCATAAGGCCGTCAATCCTAAGACTGGTTGGACACGTACATCCACAATCTTTCCTATCCTAAGCTAATCTTTACATTTCCCTAAAACTAGAACAACCCACATCCTTAATCATTTGCGAACAGAAGTCTAATCTAGGTGTATCTCTACCCCTCCTCCTAACTCCCGTTTCTGCCTCTGATATGTCCCTGACTAGACCTTCATGTCTGAGAAGGTGTCCTACCAACCTATCTCACCTATTTCTTATTGATTTCCATAGAGTCCTCTGTTCTCCTATTTATTCTAATACCTCTTCATTTCTAACCTTCTCTATCCACGGTATCCTCATCATTCTCCACTAACACAACATTTGGAACGCTTCTAACCTTTTCTTTTCCGCTGCACCTACATCTAATCTTGTTCTATCTCTATTGCCTTTAGCTCATGTTTGTGCCTCTAATGTGCCTCTGACTAGACCTTCGTGTCTGAGAAGATGTCCTACCAACCTATCTCCCCTATTTCTTATTGATTTCCATAGAGTCCTCTGTTCCCCTATTCTTTCTAATACCTCTTCATTTCTAACCTTCTCTATCCACGGTATCCTCATCATTCTCCACTAACACAACATTCGGAACGCTTCTAACCTTTTCTTTTCCGCTGCACCTACATCTAATCTTGTTCTACCTCTATTGCCTTTAGCTCATGTTTCTGCCTCTAATATGTCTCTGACTAGACCTTCATGCCTGAGAAGGTGTCCTACCAACCTATCTCGCCTATTTTTTATTGACTTCCATAGAGTC